GGGTGCACCTGGGACGTCCCCACCCCCCACCCAGAACCTCTACAGCCTGGCTTAACCTCCTAAGAAGTTAAAACCTCCCGGGCCCACGCATCCTTACAATAGGTGGCCTTGACAAAGGTCCGTCCGTGTGCCAGGCGCTGGGCTAAGTGTGTCCGTGGATTATCTCACTAAATTCTCACAACAGTTCTACGCGACAGTTACTGTAACTGTCCCCCTTTTACAAATGAGCCAGAGAGGTTTAGAGGGGTGAAGTAAAACGTCACACAATTGTTGAGAAAGGGGCAGGCAGAGGTGTCTTCTGCCACTAATAGGATTTACAGCTCTGGAGTCATCCCCTCCCTGCCCCCCTCGGACTCTGGAAGGGCTGAGAGACCCCAGGGAGATAATGATATTCATACTAAAATAATTACTAGCATGGATTGAGTACTGATTATGTGTCAAGCATTGATTTCTTTAATTCCCTCATTAACTCTAGGAGCTAAGCGCCCATTATTCAGCCCCACTTTATAGATGGTAAAACAGGCACAGAGGTGTTCTCCAGTTTGCCAAAATCACACCTGTGGTATACAAACCCCGTTCTGACTTCTGTTCTGACTCCAGGACTTCAACTTATTTTCAGCCCCTTTATTTTACAGGTGGGAAAACTAAGGTCAGAGAAGTGGCTGTGGAGTTATGGGAAACAAGTCAGGACCAGAAGCCGGGAGACTTTGTCGATGACCTCCAAGATCTTGTCAGGAGTCATGCTCATCTGTGGGTACACAGATCTAGCAAGGAATATTGGAGACCTGCAGCCCCCCTTCACCCCAGAAGCCTTCAAATCTTCATTTACACACTTCTGATGGGGTGGGGGCAGAGGAGAGAATACCTAACCTGGCCCCTTAAGCCAGGAATGCCAGCAGAGCAGGTCTCTGAAGGAGTCCTGGGAAATCTGCATCATAATCCCTGGGGAGCCCATTAAACACTGGGAACCATGGCCTCCCTGACCTACCAGATCAGCCTGTGTGCACAGCATGGTACTGGCTTTTTAACAAGCTCCCCAGGGGCCCTGATGCCCAAGAAAGTGTAGGAATCACCACAACCGGTTTAAACTGTTCCCTAGGAAAGTCTGCATTTCATAAAATGGGTAGAGAAGCTCAGAGCCCAGATACTGCTGTGGGGTGGCCTCCAGGGCATAGTGTGAGCAGCACAGGGGCTCACACCAGGCCCCCTTCCCTGAGAAGATGCAGTGCAAGCCACCCAAAGGTCTCCTGACACACAGCTAAAAAACTCCAGAGACCTTGGAGGACATACAACCCAACACATATTTTTCCAACTGGGAAACTGAGGTGCCAACAGTCTTTGTTTGACACTGGGGTACCTGCTTGGTCAAAACCCATAGATAAAAATGCCTGGCTTGCCCATCCAGGCGTGCCTCAGTGGTTGAGCATCGACCTAGGATCCAGGAGATCGCGGTTCAATTCCCAGTCAGGGCACATGCCCGGGTTGCAGGCTCAATCCCCAGTCGGGGGCGTGCAGGAGGCAGCCGATCAATGACTCTCATCGTTGATGTTTCTGTGTCTTTCTCCCTCTCCCTTCCTCTCCCTGAAATCAATAAAGATATATATTTTTTAAAACAATGCCTGGCTTGGGGCTTTGGATTCAGAGTCAGCCATAAGCAGAGGAAAGCAGGTGGGAGACAGATGAGGGAGCCGAACTAATCTGACCCCTAACCCCAAAAAGGCCTCTCCTCATTTGTGAAATGAACAGGCTGGACAGATATTCCCTAAACCTCTAGTGGGTTCCATGGGGACCAAGAGGCTGGGATGGGGCAGGGGGCTGTAGGGGAGCTCTATGAAAACTCATCTGTCATTTCCATCCACAGGGCTCTGCAGCATCTGGTTTTTCATACCTTAATCACATCAGCATGATGGATGGGGGAGGGACCCAGATTACATTATGGGGTTAATTTGTTACATTTTTTGAATACCCATTTGTTGGGAGACTTTTTCAAAGTTATTTGCATATTTTTCACCATAACAATATGTAGGAGGGTGTCTGGGAGGGAAGGGTGGGTGTTTAGGAGGAGGGAGAGCTTATTTGCCAACTGGAGCAGGTCCCTGAGGGTCTGCAATGGGGACAGAGAGAAAATCACTCCCAGGGGACATTTAAATGGAAACTAAGAGAAGGCAAGATGCAACAAAGTCTTGCAAAGACTAAAGCCTGCATGGGCAAAGGAGGGTTCCTGGGGTTCACCGAGCAAGCACACAATGAGGGAACTGGGGGAAACCACAGACAACAGTGTCCAGACAGCTGCGAGGCTCCCATAGCCACCAGGCTCTTCACAGGCTGAATCGTGGAGCCAACCCTGCCTAAGGTTCCCAGGACACCAAACACAGGGAGGTGGGGGGGTCACAGAGCCAGCCACATACAGCCTGGTGACAGTGTCATGGATACTGCACTGCTCAGGGACCCAGCCAGTTGGGACAACCCCTAAGCAGAGACCCAGCTTCATTAGTAATTTTAGTCTAGTACTTGGCCAAACCCGGACTCTCAGTGAGTGTTAAATAAGTGAATGAAAGAACCGAGGAACCAAACAATGGCAGACTCAAGTCCTAACAGTCTGGATGGGGAGTGAAGACCTCTGATGTCAGTGCCTTAGTGTGGGGCACAGAGAAGAGCTGCTTTTGAAAAGAAGCAAGGGGCCCAGCTGGCGTGGCTCAGCGGTTGAGCATCGACCTAGGATCCAGGAGATCGGAGTTCGATTCCTGGTCAGGGTGCATGCCCAGCTTGTGGGCTCGATCCCCAGTAGGGGGTGTGCAGGAGGCAGCCAGTCAACGACTCTCATCATTGATGTTTCTCTCTCCCTCTCCCTCCCCCTTCCTCTCTCTGAAGTCAATAAAGATGTATTTTTAAGAAAAGAAGCAAAGGATGTGGAATGCTCGCTGCGGTGCCCCCAAAGGTCTGCTCATGTACCAACCTGCTGTTTCTTTCCCACCACTGCCCCTGAACCAACTATTTGGCCCTCCTCTCTTTGAACCTCAGTTTTCTCATCTGTAAACTGGGAGAGCAGCAGGAAATGAAATAATGTTTGCAAAAATATAAAGTACACAATACCCAGCACATAAATGCTCAGTTAATGGCTGTTATGACGGTGATATTAAAATTGATACACACTATCTAAGCCCCTAAAGCACACACTCTGGACTAGCCATCATGATTTTCAAAACTGCATCCAAAACAGCCTTAGCTGTGCCCCCACCTGCCCCATTTTCATTTCCCAAGGCACCAGGCAGCTTTCAAGTTGCCCTAGAGGAGAACATGCATGTCGTGGCCCAAGGTGCCTAAGCAAGGGACTGCAGCAGACAGACAGTTCCTCTCCTCCCTCTTCTGGTCTGAGGCCTGACCTGCACAGCTGCCCCACACCCTAGGGTCCACTGCTGACCTCAGACCCAAACCAAAGCCCAACTTAGGCCAGTAACACTGGGCGCTTCCAACACTTCAGCCCGGCCAGAGTGCAACCTGCCATTCCCTCCCCAGGATTCAGCTGACTCCCCAGTGTCCTTGACCCCTTGTTGGTCAAGATGACCTT